GGGGGGGGGGGGGGGGGGGGGGGGGGGGGGGGGGGTGACGGAGCTTATTTCATCTATTCATGTTCTTGCTTTTTTTATACCAACCGCTGCTTTGAAGTTTTTTAGTTTTTGGGGCTTTTTGTTGGAGGGGGGTTGCTGGATCCTATCCTCATTGGTGGGACTGCCTATCATGTCTGTCAATGTGGGTTTTTGGTGCCTGTTGAGCACAAGAGGAGGTGTCTGTGAAGGAGAGTGGCCTCCTTGCCTCAACACATGGTGCCCAGACTAAACAACCAGACGAATGTTTCCTGAATCAACTTGGCACAGAAGCTCTCCAATCTACCCGTGTGGCTCAGCTGAATGACTGAAAGACTTGTAAAAGCAGCAGAAAGAAGAGGTTGGAGGAGGAAAGAGGAGAAATTAGCACAGTGGACTGCAAGAAAAGCTGATAGAGTGGTGCAGATTGCTCCCTTCCAGTCTCGCCTCCACCACAGATGCATCAGTGTAAGGATGATTCATAAACAGCCTGTCAGGTTGCAGGCAAACTTTCTTTATATAGAAATTCAGGAACCACGCTAGAATTAAAGAATATAAAGGTCCTGAAGCAAAATCACCATCGCCTCACAGCAAGAGGGTTCTGAGTTCAATTCCCCGGGGGAACCAGGACCTTTCTGGGTGGAGTTTGCATGTTATCCCTGTGTCTCCGTTCTCCGGCCTTCTCCCACTGTCCAAAAACCTGAATATTAGGTTGATTGGGCATTCCAAATTGCCCTTAGGAGTGAGTGTGCATGGTTGTTTGTCTTTGTGTGTCTCTGTGTGGCCCTGCGATGGACTGGCGGACAGTCCAGGGTGTACCCTGCCTCTCGCCCATTGACCACTGGCATAGACTCCAGTTCCCCTGCAACCCCATTTTGAAATAAGCAGTTCAGAAAATGGATGGATGGATTAACCATCGTGCTAAACTGCTCCTCTGACAGCTTTCTACAGACACGCAGTGTTGTGTAACTCTGTTAGTCTATCAGAGCTCTTGAACGTCTTTACAGATAGTTTGATTTTACTAAAAAAAATGGATTTCCCACACTATGACATAATTCCTTGAGTCAGTTTGTAGAATGAACTGCCATTCTTTGGAGAGACAGACAAATGGCTTTCAGACATCTACTCCACTCAACTTCACTTGACCACCTAATTTTAGTGTCCAGGTTTATTTTAATAATGGGGATATAGCTAGTGGTGCATTCATGGGCAACTTCAAAATACAATTTACAACTTTCATTCAAGAGACAGAATAATGGAATACATCTTAGGAATCAGATAGCCCATTTGAAAAGCTGTACCTCTGGACTGGTTACTGAATTACATATTTTCCAACTGAAAGGCCCCAAACAAACTGCAAAGATTGTGTTTTCCTTCTAATCATGAAGTTTTTTAATTTGCAGTGGTGCCGAAAAATGTGCTCACAATAGCAGAATTATTTTAGATAACGCTTATCTTCTGTGTCTCTCCAACCCTAATGTAGATGCTTTCTGTGCCACCACACAACAATTCCCTCTCTCTCTTTTTGCATGTTAAAGCTTTCCTTTGAAGGCATCACACACAATTTAGGTAATAGTGGGTAACTGGGTATGTTCAGGGTGATCTGAGCACCTCCACCAAACATAAGGTGCCACAATTACGTGATGATGGAACTGCTAACAGCACCAACAAAAGCTCAGTGTGCTGCTGTCAACCTGTCTCCACCCACGTGTCACCTTTCACCCCGCTACCCTGCACCCACACATCACACCTTTGCTGTGTCTTGTTCTTCTCAAAGCATTGAAAAAAGGCTGGGTCCATCTGTTTGGCCAGCTTGGGAGTGAAGAACTGGTTGGGACTTTGAAGGAAGGGGTTGGGGTATCATGGTAAACTCCTGGCAGACTATGGGAATGGCGCCTTGGTGAGGACACTGAGCTCTGAGCTTCTGTGGGGGCTAAGAAGGGCTGAGTCTCGCTGCGGTTAGTAACAACAAGCTGTTGGATTTGAAGAGAAAGTTCCAGACACACCCCCAGCCCTAACTCAACTGTGCAAATCCCCTCTCCTTCATGCCTTAAAAAAAGTATCTGTCTCAGTAAGACATTCAAGCAGGAAGCCCCCACCATGTGTTTTTCTTCAACAAGGCAGCCATGCTCCCATTCTCCCTTCACCTTCGCTCTTTCGACTTCTCATTCTCCTTCACTGTGCTTTTTTTTTTTGATTGAGGAGATCCAGAATATAGGCTGTGGCAGGAGGTTAAAACACCTCAGTCAATAGGGAGCACACACTCTTGTACGCATAGACGTCTTCATGTGACAAGCCCCTGCCAAACAATGGCTGTTGGCTGAGAGAGAGGAGGGGGCGGAGGGGCAGCAGTATTTTCTTGGAAGGCCTGATTGGAGCATAAACAGCAGCCCAGGAAGTGCTGAAGTAAGAGTGAGAGAGGTAGAGAGCGAGGGGAGTCAGGAGAAGTGCAGATCTGCCGGGAGTAAGCGAAAAGTTTCAGGACCGCAGGCAGCAGTGTTGTAGTTGGTGTCACTTTGGTTGTGCACCGCAAAGAAGACCACTTTTTTTATTTAGTCAGGACAAACAGAAAGACTTCAGGGTGAGTAGCCTCATCCCACAAAATCTAATACATTCTGTTAGAGCTCTTTTAAAAGCACAGGAACGTTGTCTCGTATACATGTGAGAGCAGACAGCAACCATCTACAGAGGTCTTCCCTCCGTGAATAAAAGTTAAGTTCAAAAGTAAATAACCTCATATTACTCGGGAGGAATCCTGTTGTAACTGTTGCATGTAATGTCATTTTAAATCCCATGGTTTTGGAGCGGAATTTAGTTTAGTGTTCTTAATGGTTTCCCCCTGGCTCTGAAAGCTGCTTGTTTTGCATAGCTGTTTTTGTGGTGTCTTGAACTACAGCCAGCCATTCAGTGTGTGAAGCAAAAAAAAAAAACTGGAGGAGGGGGGGAGGACGAAAGCTAATGTGTGTGTGGCTGTGTCTAATTAAGCTGATGGGGGAGAAGAGCGAGGGTCAGACTTTGAGAAGGTGAACTGAAAAACAGAGTGGTCACTTTTTACTAAACACAACGTTCACAGAATCTGTTCTTAGCATAACAACTGAAACTTTGGGACCTCTAAAGCATGACCGTCTTTTTAGATTTTTAGAAAGATTTTTATCTTTGTCATCAAAATAGCTGGTTGTGTAACAGATTTACTGTAGATCTGGTCAGGTTTGATCGAAATGGATCGAATGGATTGATACATATCCCCCTTGGATGAGTCACATACATCACTTGCATCTTCGAGGAATTGTTGCGTTATTAGGGAATGAAAGGCTTTAACAATAATTACAAGTAATCTCATGTGCTATTGCTCTCGGTGCCAATGTGCCATTCCTCTGAAAGAGAGCCAAACTTTAAGTATCCTACAGCCTTAACAAGCCAGTTTTCCTGTCTGGATCTCTCCACTACCACTGGAATTAACTTTTTCCGCTGGTAAGTACATTTGCATCTGGAGAAGACTGGTCTGCAAATTCAGACAAATGGAAAAATCTGATTTAAGTTCAAAGGCATGTATCTCACATGGTGTGAAGCTTTGTTAAAACATTATTTTTTTCTGTCAAAATTAAACATATATTACCATATTAATCAATACACCCTCCTCGTTTCAAATCTTTTAAAGGCTAAGTGTGCTTATTGGCGTTTTGATTTGAGCAGTTCTGTGCAAGTACTGATCCATGAAAGGTTCCGCACCTCTTTACTACCACTCAGATCATCACAGTTGGGTGTGATTTGTCACGTCTCTCCCAGCCGTGAGTATATCAGCTTCAGTTTGCCGTGGGGAAGGAAGGTAAACAAGCTGGAGAGGAGTTCCTCATCAGAAAGACAAATTAGCTTGCACCCCTTCCACAGCCCCAGCCTCATCCTTCATCACTCATCTCAGCTCTTTGACACTGTTAAGCTCCCACAAGTTTAGTGTGTGCTTTGCTGATCAAGCAGGTTGTCAATTTCTCATAAGACCACAGGAGACTGCCATTAGCTGTAAGGCAATGCTATTGTTGCCAGTTTAATTTGAGAGGGTTATTTGTCTAAGTGCTAGCATATGAGGCACGGTAAATTTTGCTGTGTTATTACAAGGAGAGGAACACAGTAGCTTGTGACCATATGCCTTTGTTTGTGTAATATCATTATGAGATGCTAAGTTTAGAACAGGCCCGTTTGATTACCTACCTGGACAAGGCTGTTGCATCAGTTTCCAGATATAACAAACAGCACATTAGATCTGAGTCTGTGCAGCAGATCGAGCATAAGCCTGGGCCAAACACATTAGCCGATGCAGATATCGCGCTGCAGAGTTTGATGCCTGCCACGGGAAATTGAGCTCGGTGGAAACACACCTGGACTGGTGGCATGTGGCCGAGCAGCACTGAGGCCATGGGGCTGTGGGGGGTGGTGAAAGGAGGGCAGATGGTGACAGGGCTCACCAGGTGTTTCTCGAGCCAGCTGTCTGCACTGTCATCCTTTAGCCGACTCGTGCCATGTCCTGTAGTGCTCCACGTTTTGATCAAACTCATTACTCAGAGCCCTTGTTTCATCCCCTGTTGGTGGCTGAGTGATGGATATGTTAAAGCACACTCACGTTATAGGGATGGAAAAAGAGATATAAGTACTTTTTAAAAAAGGCTTCAAACTCTTTTAGACTTTTGAGACTATCACTCACTTCTCGGGTCTCCTCCTCAACAGAAGCACTTACCAGTTTGTGAAATTTGTTGTTCTGCGTATTCGGTACGAAGTTGAAAAAAAAAAATCATTTTCTGAAACTGAAGGGTTTTACAGATTTCACATTCCATGATAGGAAGGACTGGAGGGTGTGGTGGTGGAGTTACATCATTGTCACCGGGGAGGGCCAAGTTTGTTTACCATCTGACACACTTTATTTTGTTCTGCTCTTACATATCTTATTTTTATTTTAACCTTGAATCATTCAAAACTATCTTGTTGTGCCAGAAACGGTTCCTGTCCTGCCTAACAGCAGACCTCCAGACCTTCAACACCATAAGACTTTTTGCTAAACATGCTGGAGGACTCTGCCTGAAGCAGATTATACTCTAAATTAGCTGTGAAGTGCAGATCTCATTTACTAAGAAGATCATCTATCATTTCAGCAGCTTAGACCAGAATAAACCCTTATGGCCAAAAATGAGCTGAGTCTAATAGAGGTCAGAATTATATTAATGTGCAATCAGAGAAAATCTCTTTATGTTAATAACTTTGAGTTGTCCTTATTGAACTTATTGCGTGCCTGTCTGTTGAAAGGTGAAGGTAATTTTTGAAAACTTTTTATTTCTGTGAGGAACACCTTTTTGCTGTACTTAAAAGGGACATTATTATTCACATATTGTAGACTTTGTCTGTTCCTAATGGATCCAAGTGAAGTGACTGTCTGTCAGCTGCTAATCGAAACACTTCAGTGACTTATGAGGAGAAATGTGGCGCACAAGCAGAAAATGATTGAGTGTGGCAGTAACTTGCAGTTCAACTAATTATGATTAATTAGTGTCATGTTTCTTTGTTTGTATTTATATTCACAATTTACCTGAACTAAATTGAGTGAGGAATTCTTTCCTAAACCAGATTCTGCACCTGATGTTATGGACAGGTGGAGGTCAGACATGCAATAGGGGGAAATTGTGTGCGTGCGTTTTACAGTTGTGCTGGGTGGCAGTGACAGGCCTCAGCATTTGCTGCAGGAAGTGCTGAAAGCTTTACTGTAACAACCCTCATTCGCAGAAGAAAACCATGCTTCCTGTTCTGCTGGTGAAGCTAATGAAGAATTTTCCAGGATGAAAGTATTTTTTTTATGCTGGTCTGTAGCATTCCTGCTCGTACTGTGATATTAACAAACTAGCCTCTGTTAGGTGGTCCTTTTTTAATGATCCAAGAGGCTATATAACAGGAACCAAGAGACCATTCTTGCAGTTAAAGCTTTGGCCGCAGTTGACTTGTCCAGTAACACAGTCTTTGTGCTGGTTCAAAGACACAACTTAACTTAGAACCAGTTCTTCCTGCTTTGGTCACTAAAGCACCAACATAAGAAAATTGGTGTCACGCTGCGATCACCAAAGAACTGCTCGGATTGGTCACGAGGATGGGATTATAGAGACCAGCCAAACCAAATGTAATGTCTTGTCTTCCATGCTCAAAAATCCAGAGCCAGCTTAAGGATTACTCTGCTTAATGTAAAGATGAAAATAGAGATATAGAGAAAAAAAACTGAGCTGGACATGCACATTTGAAGCAACAGTAGAAGAATGTGAGAGTGTTCTTCATTCACCAGTGACACTAATGCTAACCAATGCGCCGCACAAAGTTGCATTCCATGTCACCATTTGTGGCTGATTTTTTAAACGGCGTAATTTGCGTCATTTATAAATGTTGTCAAATGTTTGTGATCAAATCTGCTGGCGTCTACAGATCTGATTTGAAACATGGTATTACTTTCGATTGTTTCTCGGCCATAAACAGCGGCCAGCATTTCTAAAGAAATATTAACGGTACAGAGGGCATTCATAAACAGCAGCTGTTGTTTAAAACAACATTAATAATGTAGACTAGTTATATTCAGACAGTGGTTTTCCTGGGAAAAAGACCAACACTGTGATCTTTTGTTGTTTTTGTGATGATTAACTATCCCTGTACTATGGTCTTTTTATATAGGTTCAGAACACACCAGAGGGAGGGTCAGACATCTATTGAAAATATGTTCAAGCTATGCATCGACTTGACTCTGTTGTGGCTGTCCTGTGATGGAAAACCAAACCATTCTTGGCCCTGAGCAAACTTCAGAAACAAACTCTTACAGCAGCTCTGAACTAACACCAAAGGCTCTTTGGTTAAAAAGCAGAAAATGTGCATTTGTCATTCATAGGATTGTGTTGCCTGTAGTGTAGTGTGTGTTCATGTGCCCACCTTTTTCCATCTTCAAATGCGTATCCAATGATCACGTAAATAAACTGAACTGTTTGTTGTAAAACAAATAATCACTTAATATAATATGATATTTGGCATGTGGTCATAATGTTCCAGCGGTTTCATCTGTATTGCCATTTCTACATCCTTTATATGCTCTTTATATTTAGAAGTTTATGTGCGAAATGGGTTCCATATCTTGAGGGAAGCTGTTGTCTTTGACAACTTCATTTTTCTTTGCGAGCAAGGAGTCGGTTGACTTTCAGCAGACACTGACACAGAATGTTAGCCTCCCCAGATCTTCTTTGTCAGTGTAAACAATGGTACCTCTCCCATCCTATCACTTGGGCATTCAGCTTAATGTGGTGCCTCCCACTGCACACAATAACATGTTGGGGTGGTTTGTGTCTGCTGATAGACACGCTGTGTATACAAGTGAGCAGAAGCTGCATACGTCTCTTCATCATTGTCCACTGTTTGTGGTCTCTAGACAAGTTCAACTTAGACAAGAATGATGTTAAAGGATGACAAAAGCTAAAACAGTTCACGCATATTTAGAATTTGTACCTAATTGACAACCTACAAATGCCCTTATGTTTGGGCCTAGTTCCTCTCTCTTATGTATAAATCACTCAA